TGACTGAACCCAAGAAAGTAGCACCGAAGAAGACGATAAAGAAGACCCAGAAGAAAAAAACAAGCAAACCAGCAGCAGCATCAACAACAGCAGCAGCAGCAACCACCACCACAACAACAGCAGCAGACACCGAAACGAAAGCTACATCCTTTTTGAAACCTGCAACACCTGCAAAAAGACGACCATGGAAGAAATTGTCTCTGAAGATCCCTAATCAAGAACAGCTGTAAGAACCATGCTATTCTTTGGGATGTGTATGCCGTTATGATGATGATGATGATGATCTGGACACACCCATCCTGCTTGATGCTTCTTGGTCACGCGCATCACCGGTGGATTTTGATGTTCTCTCCTCAGGTATGCCCATGGTTTGCAACAACGACGACGACAACATTGACCAGGATCCTTTTGGAGACTCTCAACTCACTCCCCTACAACGTGAATGTAGTGTCTGCTGACACAACAACATGTTAAGATACATAAGCTGCAACAGTGGTCAAGTGATGTGTCATGTCTGTTTCAGGGAGGCCAAATGAGAAGAGAAGAGAAGAGTCGAGTGTCTTGTTCACCCCTAGTGACAAAGTTTCTTTTTTCCAAAGTTTACAGACGTTCACCCCCTCTTGGTCACCCTAGTGTTCACAAAAATCACAGGGACGCCCTAATCCTGTGACTTTTTGTTTTGTTGTGTTTGTTCATGTGAGCAGGGGAATAAAAAGTTGAACAAACATAAGTGTTGTGTTGTCTTTTTTTTAGGATGGAGAAAAAAACCAAAACAGGATCGAAATGCACACCAAAGAAAAAAACGGATCAAAATCTGACCAATCAGAAGCCTGGGTTTGGGACAAATCAGAGGTCGCGCTCGGACCGTGCTGGACTCTGATTGGTGGAACCGGGGTTGTGCTTTCTCTCCCATGGTAAAATCCATTTCCAATGGAAAAGAAACACAGGGGTCGGTCCGTTTTGGAAAACCGAGGTGCAGACCAGGCGCCGGAACGAACCAATCGGGGGCGCTGCATGGCGAACCAATCAGGAAGCGGGGTGTCAGTCCCTTTCCTATAAAACAAGAGCAAACTCACACACACTGCATTGTATGAAATCAACCATGTCATCTCGATACAACTGCATGAAGTGTAAGACCGACAGTCACAGTTACCTGTACTGCCATGAAGTGTCATGTATCGAGTGCCACACTCAAGGTCACCGCCACTATGACTGTCCGAAGATAAGCAGTCAAGATAAGCAGAAGACTCCCCAGGGCCCATGTTACAACTGTCAGGTGGGTCATTTCGCTGCAGATTGCCCAGAGCCCAGTCGAAAGAAGACTTCAGCAGCACTGTTCATGTCGACACCAGTAACACCAGTGACACCAGTGACACAAGTGCTTCATCACATAGAAGCCATGCATATTGATGTCCGTGCCCTAAAAGAATGCATTGCACAACTCCCTGCGGGCATCACACCACGTCTAGGGAAAAGAAAACGGGACAGAAGCCCCTCAAGAAAGCACTTGTCAAAGCGCCGACGACGTCATCAGTCTGAGGAGGAGGAAGAGGTAGAGGATGAAGATGATAGATCATCTGAGCAAAGTGACTAACGCATGGGACATGCTGCTCCACTGTTTTTCCAGTTTCCAATCGTTTCCAGTTTCCAGTTTGTTTTCCAACGGCCCTTTTAAGGGCCACCCATCTCTCCCGAAAGAACGCGTTCATCCATGGCTTTGACGACCCTCAAACCAAACCAAAGAACCCACCACCACCACCACCAACAACACCTCCCACCACCATCACTTCTTTTTCTTTTTAAAAAAAAGAAAAAAATGAACATAAAGGATTTTACATGCGCTTCTTTTAATTTTGATATTTTCATATTGTATGAGTGCTTCTTATCGTCGCCGCCTCCCCGGAAACGGATATGTCACCCTCTTGGAGGTGCGTGCGCCACCGGAAACGGAAGTGCCGCCATCTTGGATGTGCATGCATCACCGGAACCGAAACCAGAAGTGACGTCATTGCTCATGCGCAGGCCCGTGACTGGTCCTGTACCGCCGCCCTCAACTACTCTTAGACGTACAGTGGGATACACTTATAATAGTGATACTTATCAGGGTGTAAATCGCAGAAATATGAATCATGTCCCATTTATATTCACCTTAACATTGAATGGTGATTCTTAAATATCAACAGAAGTTCCAATAAAAGATACCGAGAAACTTGCATGTGGCATGTTGATTTATCGTCTACCGTTTCCGGGTCACGGGTATTGGCTGCCATTCGGTCAAAAAATACAAAGTTGAAAAAAAGGACGAAAGTACGCAATTAAGGTCAAATATTACGAATAAAGAACTAAATGTTACTACTTAAGGTCAAAATACAAAACAAACAGACACCGGTTAAACATACACGGGAGCATGCAAGGTCAAATGGATAAATAATACGCGAATTATATCGTCAAAGTCACATTTTTATTTCATGTTAGTGGTGATTACTAATACTATGTATTGACTTGTTTTTGCTGTATGTGATAGGCGAAATATTTCAAAATTTACTGTAATTGTTTTGTTACGAAAGATTATCAGCAGACTACCCGTCTGTGACATCACATCCGGTGACCTTTGCACTTACTGAAATATTGCTGTCAGAATTCACGATCTTTATTTTCGTTTTTCTCTCGTCATATTTATCGGAAAATGACGAATAAAACATTCTATGATTGAGAAGATCGTCAACTTTCGCCAAGGTATATCTAGAAAGGCAATGTAAACTTTGTTGATATTAAAATAGCAATAAGTTATGCAGAGGTCGGGCGAAGCGCGCCATGTTTGATTTTAGGACGTCTGCTAGCATCATGACACAGGTTTTCTATTTTTGTATATCGTATTTTAACAGTATTCCAGTTATATCACGGCGTGTCAGCTTAATGTGGGAGGAAAGCCCGAAGTGATGCAGGTCTCAGACGTTTATCAGTTCGGTGAAACCCACGAGCACGGGTATGGTGCTGACACAACTTTGCACAGCGAATCGCGGCGCCTTAGACGACTGGGCAACCCGTGCCCCCCGACTGTTTGAAATCAGCCACCCTCTTTAGAGGGCCTTATGCTAAAATTAATCCAGCAGGCAGGGGTAAAAGAAGTGTGAAAATAATTCAGCAGGCTAAAGGTTAACTTTCTTCTCAGCTGCTTCACGCCTTCTAGCTTCAGCTAGCTTGGTGAAGGCTTTCTTGGATAGCTTTGAGCACTGATATCTTGCCTCATCTGTACATATAGCCTCTCTGCACTCCCAGCAGCCGCTATGAGGATCTCCCATGATTACAAAATGACAACACTTCTTGCAACCAGGAGTAGGAGACTCCATTATGACCTCACAACATTTTATACTTACGTGAGTACGATCGTCACTACAGGTAGCAGCACTGAATATTGACTAAATGTGTCTGTTTTATAGAAAACTATTAGAACAATCTTCGACTAATGTGACTACTACCAAGTGCAAGATCGTTACAACTATAACAATAGGTGTTGACTCGAGCACACACAGGAAAGAAGTGAGATTCCCTTCATTATGCACGTCATAGCTTGGGTTACTTTATTGGGAACAACCATTGTGTGTAATTGACAGTGGAGTGGACGTCTATTGAAAATCTGAAAATTTTAGTTCGTCTGACTGAGCCAAAATATAGGATTTATGGCAAAGATGTAATAGAGGTAGAGGAATTGCAAGAATTATATTTATTTGTCTAAGCTAGGCTTCCGGTTTCTACAGTTTTCTTGGCTGCCACCTTCTTCTTAGCCTGTTTTACGAACCTGCCATCGTGGCAAATAACTCCATATTGAGCACATCAGATCTCTGCACTCCCAGCAGGGGTTATGGTATGATGATGGCCAAAATATAGGATTTATGTCCATGATGTAATACAGGTTTGGTATTTGCAGGAATTATACTGCCTATGAGACATTAAATTTTAACTTGAAGCTTCATTAAACCCAACTCAGTCATTATTACCAATTCTGACTTCAAGGTATATTACACCAGAAAGGCAATAAACAACAAACAATGTATCACATATGTCAACAAATTTATATCTTTGATGATTTTAACATACTTGATGCAGTACTAACAAATTTGTACATTGGATCATGTCCAGTCCCTAACAAACACACTTCATAAAATAATTGTATGAAAGCTAAAGAGCTTGCGCATGTTCCTACTTCAATGAATATGAATGGACATAATCATGACAGGTATCATCTATCAACAGATAAACTGCATCATTTTGCTATACACAAAGTATATACAAGATAAAGGTAATAGTCCCTGTTTTACTAGAACCAAATTCTCAATCTCTATTACGAAATGAGTCGGGCCTTGCTCGTTCCCTTACATCCTCTATCTTGACCTACAAAAACAGGATCATGTGGACATGATTCTATGATGTGTACGTATAAAAAAAACAAAGTCACAAGTAGCCTACCAACAGTAGATAGAAATAGAGAAACAAAATACTTGAAATTTATCAGGAGCCTCTTTGTGATACTGTCCTAAAATGTGTTCAACATCAATAGTGTCATGTACTGTATTTTCTTGAGTATAGTGCGCACTTTTTTTCCAAAAAACACAGCTGTGTGGAAGGGGGTGCGCATTATACACGAATTATGAGTTTGGATGTTTTTTTCCCCCATGGAAAGACATTACCGTGAGCACGAAACACCGGAAATACCATGTCAACAAATCCATACTGAAGTACGCAAAATAATCATGTAATTACACTGTCTGGCTATAAAAAGTGTTATTTGTATATCGGGACTTATGTTTGTAACTTATTTCATTAATTTTATTCAAAATTCCTTTTAATATTGTTTTTATTTACCCGTTCTTTTCTCCATGTACCAAGTCACAGACCTACACATAGTTACTGTCAAGTCGGTTTGTTACCTTGTGTTTGTTGTCTAAATACCAGAATATGGTAACCACAACTGTTATTGTATTTCACACAATTACTATCAGCAGACAATTTTAACATTCATATTAACATGTAAATTTAAGACAACAGTTCAAATTTTGTTGTTTTTCAAGGTGTTATTTTTTTTTTGCAAGTCAAGTGATGGATCATTTATTACAAAACATGAAACATGACCTCAAAACCTTTCTTGAAAATGACCATGAAGGGCAGAGTTCATCCATGCACAAAAAAGGAACAAATGCTGCATGCCTTGCTTAATTTACATGAATTTTCAATTTGATAATGTTGCACAACCTGACAAGTGAGGAGGGATCCAGCTTAAGACCTTATTGATTATTGATTTGAAGCAAACATTTTATTACAGTTTATTCTTGAACAGTTTTATTTGATGCATAATACACAGAGTAGTTAAGTTGAAGTGAGGTTCCACTGTGGGAACAACTGGAACTGTAAAGGTAACTGCCCTGCAGATAAATACATATACAAACATTTAACAATGGGATATTCTGATAATCTGTAACTGTTCATTGGCTTGTAGGAATATGAAAAAATTGCCTGGAACTGTACCTCTCTTGGATATATAGATTAAAATGTCAACCACTTGGACGTATGAAGTGAGATACCTGTGTATTTCCTTAAGAATGCCCCACCTAAAAGTCTGGACATGTTATTACAATTATTTGATGCAGTATTCATAAGTGGCTCTTATCCAGATCAGCTGTCTTATGATGTCATACTTCCCATCTTGAAGAAGGGTAATCCAAATGATCCCTCTAATTCTATTACATTTTTTTAAGTACATGTAGCAGGCACATTTTTTGCAAAATTTGTTTGTAACAGACTAAGAAAGTGGTCTGCTCTTGAACATTTTATAACTAACAAGCAAGCAGGTTTTAGAAAGGGTTTCCAAACTTCCGACAATATTTTTATTGTTAATACTTTATTAGATAAATATCTGTCTCAAAAACGTGGCAGGACGTATGGTGCCTATATAGATTTGAAAGGAGTGTTAGGCTCTGTGTATAGGAATGGCTTACTCTTTACATTGTGGATCTTTCAAGTCCTGTATTTCTCTAGAGTGTGTATATACACAGTTCTTCAGGTGCTACTCTGGTGTTAGACAGGGATGCCAACTGTCACCTTTTTTGTTTTCATGTTTCACTAACGGTATTGTGAAATATTTTAATTGAATTGTGAGGGAGTTCATGGTGCAACTACTAAGTCCATTGGAATAGTTTATTTTATTGTTTGCAGATGACATAATCCTGTTAGATGTAACAGCTAAGGGCCTACAAAAATGTCTTGACCAACTCTCCCTATATCGTGATAAATGGAAATTGACTATTAATATTTAAAACAGCCAAGTGATTGTATTCAGAAATGGAGGCAAACTTAGATATTATGAAAGGTTTAGGATTGGAGATTCCGTCATTGACATAGTCCCTAGTTATAAATATCAAGGTGTGCAGTTATCGTCCTCTGGTTCTTGGTATCTTGCTCAAAAGACTTTGGCAAGACCAACATTGAAAGTAGATTGACTACTACAATCAACACTGGGAAAATTCTCAACAATCCCAGCTGGTGTCAGTTTTCATGTTTTTGACATAAAAGTATTGCCAATCTTAAATTATGGAGCAGAGGTTTTGGGATTTCATCCTTCACCTGATATTGAAAATGTAAACGGTTGTTTCTGTAAACTTGTTCTGTGCTTGAATAGAAACACCCCTAACATAATTGCAAGAGGAATTGTTAAAAGAACATGAATCAAGGTTTTGCATTACATAAAAGTTATAACATTCTGGTTAAGGTTATTGTCACAACAGGTTAATGTTATCGTGAAAGGTTCTTATGATCTTCAGTATAGAAGGCAGAAAATGGTAAAGCCTGTTGGGCTACTAATGTTAAATCACTGCTGTATACATATGGTTTTGGGGAGGTTTGGTTACAGCAGGGTGTTGGAAATATAAATGCATTTATATTGTGTTTTAAGCAAAGATGTAAAGATATCTGACAACAAACATGGAATAATAATCTAGAATGTTATTCTAAGCTGGAATATTTTTGCTCTTTCAAGGAAAGGGTATTATGAACATCTAACCAATTGTATTGATATAGCCATCTATCAAACAACACTTGTTAGGTTTCAGTGTTCTGGTCATAATTTATTGGTAGAAGCAGGTAGGCATTATACAATACCAAGGCCAGAACGTCTATGTCCCTTTTGTATTGTGCCATTTTGGAAACTGAATTCCACTTTTGTCTCGAGTGTTCATTCTACTCAAATTTGAAGGAACATGTACTTCCTAAATATTATTACATATGTCCAACTCTTGATAAACTAAAACAATTATATAGCTGCAACCTCTATGTTATAAGAAGATTTGCAAAGTATATATTTCTTGCTCTCAAGAAAAGGAACTCTCTTCTTAAAGATGTGCCAGTTTTGTTGTACGATGTCACTGTAACAATGTTAGCCTAGTTCGGCAAGGGTGGAAACTGGACTTTTAAAGTCAGTTAACTCTCTTCCCTCGGGAAGATGTAATAGTTAGTGCTCTGTACAGGTGAACTGATCAAACCAATGTACTTAGTATAATGGGCTGGTGGCCCTTTACAGAATGAACTCATTCATTCATCACCAATGATCAAAGTACCATGGGTACTGAGTCTTATCATACACTCATTAGAAACATTTACCTTCCATTGCATAAGATACTGTTATTTCGTTTAGCGATAAGAGAAGAAAGGCCTTTTATCTCACATAAATAAAAGAAATAAGAATGTTTTACATAACATCTATCCTGCATGTACATTAATACACACTGATACATGAACAACTGACTGAGTAGAGGAATAAAATTAGGTCAAAGGTTGAAGCTTGGCCAAAACCAATTAATGAGCAAAGAGCATATTGATTCACAGGTATCTTTGTGCAGGTGCTGCAACTGGGCAACAAGTAATCAGGAGATATTCCTATAAATCATATTTAAGTGGCGCTAAGTGGAAATGTTTGTCAATACTTATTGAATTCTATGTAGTTGATTTGACTTACACCAAATAACTCTGATCAATTAGAACCATATTCTGTGCCATGTTCATTATTCAACCTTGCTTGACAACAGCATAAGGATCATTACCAAATGTTTCCATTACAGTAACATAAAGAAGTTGTTACAATATATTATGTCTACTTATTCAGAACATATATACTTGTAACTAACTATAAGAGGACACATGACATACTATGTCAAATTTACTGCCTTTGCATTTCGTATAAAATAGTCCATCACATCCAAGAGGGTAGCTTATTATATAAGTCAATTAAGAAATAATATTGGCACTGATGACATAATATCCAAACTTATGACAACAGCATTTCACCTCAATATTGTGTGTGATATGATAAACATCCTACTGTTGTTAATGACTGAACAATGAATTTGGCATAGTAATTTATCAGAAAGTTATTGTTCAGTGGTATTTCAAGGGACTGCAATTAGTGCAGGTCATCTTGGTGAACAGTGTCGAGAGGGGGTGGGACATCTGGCATTGTCATCTTGGTTCCTGCAGTCAAGTAGCCTGCAACACTTGGTCCTGTAGGCCCTGTAAGAGAAATAACTCTGCATTACAAATACTGTAAAGTACAATCAGTAACATCAGTACATTAAAAAGTTATATATTTTAATAGCTGACCAGCACATCTCCACATCATAGTAACTGATGTAAGATGTGATAATTGAGTAACTGACAAGCACACCTCCACATGGTAGTAACTGATGTAACATGTGATACTTCAGTAACTGACAAGCACACCTCCACATCGTAGTAACAGAAGTAACATGTGATACTTGAGTAACTGACTAGCACACACCCACATGGTAGTAACTGATGTAACATGTGATACTTCAGTAACTGACAAGCACACCTCCACATGGAAGTAACATGTGATACTTGAGTAACTGACTAGCACACCTCCACATGGTAGTAACAGAAGTAACATGTGATACTTGAGTAACTGACTAGCACACCCCCACATGGTAGTAACTGATGTAACATGTGATACTTCAGTAACTGACAAGCACACCTCCAAATCGTTGTAACAGAAGTAACATGTGATACTTGAGTAACTGACTAGCACACCTCCACATGGTAGTAACTGATGTAACTTGTGATACTTGAGTAACTGACAACCACACCTCCACATGGAAGTAACATGTGATACTTGAGTAACTGACTAGCACACCTCCACATGAGAGTAACATGTGATACTTGAGTAACTGACAAGCACACCTCCACATGGTAGTACCATGTGATACTTGAGTAACTGACTAGCACACCTCCACATGATAGAAACATGTGATACTTGAGTAACTGACAAGCACACCTCCACATGGTAGTAACATGTGATACTTGAGTAACTGACAAGCACACCTCCACATGAGAGTAACATGTGATACTTCAGTAACTGACAAGCACACCTCCACATGAGAGTAACATGTGATACTTGAGTAACTGACAAGCACACCTCCACATGGTAGTACCATGTGATACTTGAGTAACTGACAAGCACACCTCCACATGATAGAAACATGTGATACTTGAGTAACTGACAAGCACACCTCCACATGGTAGTAACATGTGATACTTGAGTAACTGACAAGCACACCTCCACATGAGAGTAACATGTGATACTTGAGTAACTGACAAGCACACCTCCACATGAGAGTAACATGTGATACTTGAGTAACTGACAAGCACACCTCCACATGAGAGTAACATGTGATACTTGAGTAACTGACAAGCACACCTCCACATGGTAGTAACATGTGATACTTGAGTAACTGACAAGCACACCTCCACATGATAGAAACATGTGATACTTGAGTAACTGACAAGCACACCTCCACATGGTAGTAACATGTGATACTTGAGTAACTGACAAGCACACCTCCACATGGTAGTAACATATGTAACATGTGATACTTCAGTAACTGACAAGCACACCTCCACATGGTAGTAACATGTGAAACTTGAGTAACTGACAAGCACACCTCCACATGATAGAAACATGTGATACTTGAGTAACTGACAAGCACACCTCCACATGGTAGTAACATGTGATACATGAGTAACTGACAAGCACACCTCCACATGAGAGTAACATGTGATACTTGAGTAACTGACAAGCACACCTCCACATGAGAGTAACATGTGATACTTGAGTAACTGACAAGCACACCTCCACATGGTAGTAACATATGTAACATGTGATACTTCAGTAACTGACAAGCACACCTCCACATGGTAGTAACATGTGATACTTGAGTAACTGACAAGGATACCTCCACATGATAGTTACATATGTAACATGTGATACTTGAGTAACTGACTAGCACACCTCCACATGGTAGTAACTGATGTAACATGTGATACTTCAGTTACTAACTAGCACACCTCCACATGGAAGTAACTGATGTAACATGTGATACTTGAGTAACTGACAAGCACACCTCCACAGGATAATTACATATGTTACATGTGATACTTGAGTAACTGATAAGCACACCTCCTCATGGTAGTAACATATGTAACATGTGATACTTGAGTAACTGACTAGCACACCTCCACATGATAGTAACATGTGATACTTGAGTTACTGACAAGTACACCTCCACATGGTAGTAACATGTGATACTTGAGTAACTGACAAGCACAAATCCACATAGTAGTAACATATGTAACATGTGATACTTGAGTTACTGACTAGCACACCTCCACATGGAAGTAACTGATGTAACATGTGATACTTGAGTAACTGACAAGCACACCTCCACAGGATAGTTACATATGTAACATGTGATACTTGAGTAACTGACAAGCACACCTCCACATGGTAGTAACATGTGATACTTGAGTAACTGACTAGCACACCTCCACATGGTAGTACCATGTGATACTTGAGTAACTGACAAGCACACCTCCACAGGATAGTTACATATGTAACATGTGATACTTGAGTAACTGACAAGCACACCTCCACATGATAGTAACATGTGATACTTGAGTAACTGACTAGCACACCTCCACATGATAGTAACATGTGATACTTGAGTTACTGACAAGAACACCTCCACATGGTAGTAACATGTGATACTTGAGTAACTGACAAGCACAAATCCACATAGTAGTAACATATGTAACATGTGATACTTGAGTTACTGACTAGCACACCTCCACATGGAAGTAACTGATGTAACATGTGATACTTGAGTAACTGACAAGCACACCTCCACATGGTAGTAACATGTGATACTTGAGTAACTGACTAGCACACCTCCACATGGTAGTACCATGTGATACTTGAGTAACTGACAAGCACACCTCCACAGGATAGTTACATATGTAACATGTGATACTTGAGTAACTGACAAGCACAAATCCACATGGTAGTAACATATGTTACATGTGATACTTGAGTTACTGACTAGCACACCTCCACATGGGAGTAACTGATGTAACATGTGATACTTGAGTAACTGACAAGCACACCTCCACATGGTAGTAACATGTGATACTTGAGTAACTGACTAGCACACCTCCACATGGTAGTAACATGTGATACTTGAGTAACTGACAAGCACACCTCCACATGATAGTAACATGTGATACTTGAGTAACTGACAAGCACACCTCCTCATGGTAGTAACATGTGATACTTGAGTAACTGAGAAGCACACTTCCACATGGTAGTTACATATGTAACATGTGATACTTGAGTTACTGACTAGCACACCTCCACATGGAAGTAACTGATGAACAATGTGATACTTGAGTAACTGACAAGCACACCTCCACATGATAGTAACATGTGAAACTTGAGTAACTGACAAGCACACCTCCACATGGTAGTAACATGTGATACTTGAGTAACTGACAAGCACACCTCCACATTGTAGTAAGGTATGTAACATGCGATACTTGAGTAACTTACAAGCACACCTCCACATGGTAGTAACTGATGTTACATGTGATACTTGAGTAACTGACAACCACACCTCAACATGGAAGTGACATGTGATACTTGAATAACTGACAAGCACACTTCCACATGGTAGTTACATATGTAACATGTGATACTTGAGTAACTGACAAGGACACCTCCACATGGTAGTAACATGTGATACTTGAGTAACTGACAAGCATACCACCACATGGTAGTAACATGTGATACTTGAGTAACTGACAAGCACACCTCCACATGGTAGTAACGTATGTAACATGTGATACTTGAGTAACTGACAAGCACACCTCCACATGGTAGTAACTGATGTTACATGTGAAACTTGAGTAACTTACAACCACACCTCAACATGGAAGTGACATGTGATACTTGAATAACTGAAAAGCACACTTCCACATGGTAGTATCGTATGTAACATGTGATACTTGAGTAACTGACAAGCACACCTCCACATGATAGTAACATGTGATACTTGAGAGACTGACAAGCACACCTCCACATGGAAGTAACTGATGTAACATGTGATACTTGAGTAACTGACAAGCACACCTCCACAGGATAGTTACATATATAACATGTGATACTTGAGTAACTGATAAGCACACCTCCTCATGGTAGTAACATATGTAACATGTGATTCTTGAGTTACTGACAAGCACACCTCCACATGGTAGTAACATGTGATACTTGAGTAACTGACAAGCACAAATCCACATAGTAGTAACATATGTAACATGTGATACTTGAGTTACTGACTAGCAGACCTCCACATGGGAGTAACTGATGTAACATGTGATACTTGAGTAACTGACAAGCACACCTCCACAAGATAGTTACATATGTAACATGTGATACTTGAGTAACTGACAAGCACACCTCCACATGATAGTAACATGTGATACTTGAGTAACTGACAAGCACACCTCCACATGGTAGTAACATGTGATACTTGAGTAACTGACAACCACGCCTCCACATGGTAGTAACATGTGATACTTGAGTAACTGACAAAGACACCTCCACATGGTAGTAACATGTGATACTTGAGTAACTGACAAGCACACCTCCACATGGTAGTAACATGTGATACTTGAGTAACTGACAAGCACACTTCCACATGGTATTAACTGATGTAACATGTGATACTTGAGTTACTGACAAGCACACCTCCACATGGTAGTAACATTTGATACTTGAGTTACTGACAAACTCAGCTCCACATGGTAGTAACATGTGATACTTGAGTAACTGACAAGCACACCTCCACATGATAGTAACATGTGATACTTGAGAAACTGACAAGCACACCTCCGCATGGTAGTAACATGAGATACTTGAGTAACTGACAAGCACACCTCCACATGATAGTAACATGTGAAACTTGAGTAACTGACAAGCACACCTCCACATGGTAGTAACATGTGATACTTGAGTAACTGACAAGCACACCTCCACATGGTATTAACTGATGTAACATGTGATACTTGAGTTACTGACAAGCACACCTCCACATGGTAGTAACATTTGATACTTGAGTTACTGACAAACTCAGCTCCACATGGTAGTAACATGTGATACTTGA